GTGTGTGTGTGTGTGTGTGTGTGTGTGTGTGTGTGTGTGTGTGTGTGTGCGTGTGCGTGTGCGTGTGCGTGTGTGTGTGTGTGTGTGTGTGTTATATGTGTGCTCGCGCGTGTTTATATGAATATGTGTATGTTGGTAAGTATGTGTATTAATATTATAGTTTTACTATTTTTATACAAAATTATTTTAAAAATATTCTGTTTTTCTGTTATAGGTAATTCATCATACACATTATAAATTACCTTTTGCATGCTTAACTTAAACATAAAAGAAATTTTCATACTTACTTGCGACGGAAATTAGTATACCATTATAATAGTTTTCATTCCACAAGATCTTATATTTCTTTTCATAATTTATATTTGTAGCATCAAATCCTTTAATTCGATCCACTGACACGATTTCCTTCTCCCCGGTAAAATATTTTACATATGCGAATTTTATTTTATTAACAGACATTGCTTCTAATAATATATAACCTCACACTTTTATATTCACGCTTACACAAGTAATACACACGTTTGTTTAAACAATATACATACATACATACAATTTGTACATATATAAAATATAATCTTTGTATACTTTATAAGCGGCAAAAAATATAATGAGTGTATTTAATAAACGAAGCAAACAGAAGAACCGTACTTGTGCACACCGCGTGTTCAACGTTCTGGACCTGGCAGGACCTGGCAGGACCTGCTTTTCCCGCCCACAGCAGCGGCTTAAGTACCGTTCTCATCTATAAGTCGGTTGCAAGCATGTTGCGACAGCCAATCAGAAACGTCAATGGTACTATTGGCGGTTTTGATTGACTCTCGCAACATGCGTGATACATGACGAGCGAGCCTAAAAGCGTTGCGTACGCACTCTCATCACTTGATTTGCGTCCTAACAATTATGGTTGCATATACATATGTCAAAGTTGTATAGCTAAACAAAGTGTATAATTGATTTAGAAAGTACAATTTGATAAACATGAATAAAGATGGTTCAAAACACAAAAAAAGGATCTATAAATATTTTCTAGATCCTACATATAAACCATCACAAGTAGATCCTCGAACGGATAAGCGATGGAGAAATATTCTGAGCACGACAGATATAAACAATGAATTAGGTATATTATTACATTTTCTTTTATGCTAATAACGTTATAATACAAATAATACTATATTTATAAAGAACGTTTTGAATTTACATATATATTATATTTATATCTCTTTCCAAATTGTAGCAGACAACACATCAAATTTTAAAGATCATTTAACAGATGGAAGCTTTAGTCCTTTACATAATGAAAGTAACAAATTTGACCAAGTTTCACTTATATCTAATATGATTTTTACTTTGAAAGATGAAGATTCAGAAAACTTAAGCATTAATTCTGAATGTTATCAAGAATCTGATAGCAATACTTCTAATATATTTTTAGAAAACTCTTGTGACAACTTATCCAGTGAAATTAGAAATGAAACAATTATGTTTGAAGCTGCTGGTCTTACAATTTCTGATGTACTGATGATGATAACTGGCATCTGTCTCCGATATAATTTATCAAACTCTGCAAAGCATGCAATAATTAAGCTAGTTAAAGTATTAGTTGGACCAAAATTCGTTGCGTGGAAAGTTAATAGCTATAACATATTACAACAATGTAGCCCACCTGATGATAAAATTTTATATACATTTTATTGTACTAAATGTTACTTAAAATTGATGGAACCTATTACAAAAAATAATTTTCGAAATCAAATTCGATTTTGTGACACATGTAATAATCAATATAAACTTTCAATGCAATCTCCAAACTATTTCATAAGTATTGATATTTCATATCAAATTAAAATGTTATTAGAAGATAAAGATATTCTACTAAAACTATTAGTAAATTTAGATTTAATTAATAATAGTACAAATTCAGAAAATTCTTCAATACACGATATTTACGATGGTGAATTATATAAAAAATTGTCTGACATTAAGTGTAGTCAATTTAAGACATTAACATTCAACTTTAACACCGATGGTGCAGCCTTATTTCGTAGTTCTAAATTGTCTATGTGGCCAATACAACTAATTATAAATAAACTTCCTGTTGAATTGAGATTTAAAACTGTTATACTTGCTGCATTATGGATTTCAGATTCAGAACCTAAACCTGCATTTATGAATCTATATTTATCAACGCTTGTAGAATCAGCAAAAGAATTGCTACAATCTGGTATAACAATAATTAATCATAATCAATCGATTAAATTTAATTTCATATTACTCTGTTCATCAGTTGATTCCGTTGCACGACCTATAATGCAAAATCGTATGCAATATAATGCATTTCAAGGATGTAGTTGGTGCTACGCGTACGGTCGTCATGTGAAAGGTGCTATGCGTTATCCAATGTCAAAACAAGATCCAGACTTGAGATCACAAGAATCTTATCTGAAAGATGTTGATGAAGCAATAAAATTACAAAAAATAATTAGAGGTGTAAAAGGTGAATTTCAATTAATAAAAATGCCGCTGTTTGATAGTATTTGGGGTTACCCCATTGATTATATGCATGGTATTCTTTTGGGAGTAACTAAACAGATGTGGGACATTTGGACTACACCTGGTCATAAATTTTCTTTAACAGCAAAGAAACGCTTAATTATTAATAACCGATTAGTAGCAATAAAACCACCTCATGAAATCCATCGAATTCCGCGAAATTTAATGTTTAAAGCAAAGTGGAAGGCTACAGAATGGCGATCCTGGTTATTATTTTACAGTTATCCATGCTTGCAAGGAGTTCTCGAAAATATATATTTACAGTCTTTCTTATTATTAATACAAAGCGTTTATATTCTTTTAAAATCCAATATAAGCGAAGAAAATCTATTGCAATGTGAATTAGATCTATTAAGATTTGTGGGAGAATGTGAAATATTATATGGAGAAGAAGTAATCACTTTTAATATGCATTCTTTACTGCATTTAGTACAGTCTGTTAAAAAATCTGGACCACTGTGGGCTACATCAACATTTCCCTATGAAAGCAATATATTTCATTTAAAGCAATTTGTAAATGGACCTAAAGGTGTGCGAAATCAAATAATAGATAAACATTTAAGACTTGCGAAATATCGACATTCCGTAGCCACTATAGCACTTAGTACTGATGATAGTTTCCAATTTTGTAAAGATTTATTTGAATACCGACGATTAATGCAATATACAACTACTGAAAGTGGTATAACATTTATTGGTAAAGGTATACCATTAATAAATATTGTAGATACTGTAGAAGAACCTTTACGAAATGGTCTTGTCTTTAATAGATGCGTATTTAAAGGCACAGTATTTCATAGTATCTTATATGAACGGTCAAAGAAGACCAATGATACCGTAATAAAATTAAAAAATAATTCCATTATTCAAATTATTAAATTCGTCTGTTTAGAAAAACAATATTACATGACAGTACGCAAAATAGTAGTTGCACCAATTAAAGAAAATGTTCCAATGCAACATTTAATGAGAGTTATTGAAAAAGAGAAAAATATTATGGTAATTTCGATTGAAGAGATTAAGCAAAAAATGATGTTCATTGATGTTGGTGAATGCTATGTATGTGAATTGCCAAATATTATTGAGATTCAATAAACTTATTATTAATTTATTTATAATTTGCGTTTTTATTTACTCTCTAATATTAAATTACTTGTAGAAAAAGAATAAGTAAATTTTTATTTTGTTTTTGTTTTGAATATTGTTCCATGCATATATACGCACACGCGTGTATGTAAAACACACATACACATGAAACAATATTATTTGAATATATTAGTTTCCTTTCTATAAAAAACGATAGAAACATATATAAAAAAATTTAATTTTATTTATTTTTTACGGTAAACTATCATTTCAAGCGGATTCACATTTGGGCTACTGTAAAGAAGTTACTTACTTTTTCTTAACTATATCTCATTTAAATGATTAAATACTATCCGAAAGTATAATATATGTACGTTTTTCTATTTGACTTATCGAATTATCTAATTCAATACAAAAATTACGATTTGGTGTTTATATATTTGTATATGAGTATGTATAAATATAAATATTTGTCATATTTGAATAAACTGTTGTAAAAACACAAATATGTTATTATTTATGTGTTTGAAATCTATTTATGTGAAACTTAAGTCAATGAATTATTTTTATATATTGATAAAAATACATATGTGTATTAACTATTAATTAATCTAATAAAAGGGAAACAAATTTAATCATTTACTGCATAATTGTTATCGGCTGATACAATTATAAAATTTAATCGTGCATTTAATATTTGTATTCTATCATTTTCTATAATATCATTGATTAATTATATCATTAATTATTATTTAATCCGTATTAACCGCTATTAATTGTTCTTTCTGTTCAAAACGTGCAACAGTTACATTTCGAATTTTTATTATAAATGAACTAAATTTTTTCGCATATTTCATATAAAGAACGACTGCAGCGAATCTATAACTCAATAAGTCGTATAAAACTATATATATTATATAAACACACACACGCACGCACGTGCACACACACACACACACACGCGCGCGCACGCACGCACACGCGCGCGCACGCACGCAC